ACAAATTCAGCCATACGTCAACGAAAAATACAAAGACTTCGTGATGGCAGTCCTGGCCAAGCATGCATAACCTGGAGTCCTGGACATTTCATCTTAGCGGGGAGGAGTGATGTAGATGTAACACACCTAATACAAGTAGGCGGCTCTGATTTTGGATGACAGTTCGAATTATGTAAAACGTATATAAACACGCGTTTTCCGTTCTCTTAAATAATAAAGTATCTAATAAACTGTAATTACTCTTGACTTGTTCTACGAATACTTCAACTACTTCAAATACCCTAATTGATATAATTTTTAACCTCTTCACATTCTCCCAAGAAAAGATATGTAGGTATTGACACATGTTTTCTTGCAAGATAACCGGCAACGTAGGGCAAGTCGTCTCTTTCAGATTCATAAGCTACACCTGAACTGCAATTATTTGAGATAGTACCGTTGTCAGGATTGGGCAATTGCTCCATCGCATATGCTTGAATTTGATTTTTTATATTATGGTATCTTCAAGTTTGACTTCTTGCAACCTAGAACTGTTTCAGTATAGGTATTGGAAGAATATTGCATTATTCCGGAATTTTTTCCAATACACATGCACTAAAGGAATCCTGCATTTATAATCCATTTCCCTACTAGTTTTAATAAATCAGAAATCAGGAACATATGCCACAACGTTGCATGTACATTTTATGTAATTTATGGCCGTTTGCACCGACAAATTTAAGCTAGATCAATATTTATGATGATGAAATTAAAATTCGAAATCGATAACCTGTAAGAAAACATAAAATCTAAATTATTTACCTCTACTTACCTGCTTCAATATTTATTAATTTAGCCCACAAAAATTCGGTAATCATCTGATGAAATCGATCACCATTGAGATACAGCTGCATCAGCATTTTCAAAAAAGTAAGGTCCAATTCCACCACCTGACCATAATGCACACCAAATGTTTCTCATGAATAATTCATGGATTTTCATCGCCCCAGTTGCGACAATTTGGTTTATTACTTAGACCATATAGTACATGGACTGCTATTATCCCTATGCTTTCAATACAAAATGGGTGGTCACGGATAGAGGGCACTGTAGTCGTGGGTATGTGAATCTCAGGGTAAACTAAAGTCGTATGAACACCACTCGGATCGCGTAAAGAGTAGCTTTTATGGGAACCGCGTAGTACGGGAAGCTTTAAATACTTTTGATTATCTTCTATACGTCCACAAATACGGATAGGTTTGCTTTTTTGGCATATCTAGGCGATTAATTAATTGACGTTTGTTAATTTATAGGTTGACAGTCTCAAATCGTATCTAATCGCACAACTTCGGACAGACTCGTTTACCCTGAAACTCACATACCCAGGCGATGTCCTTGACCATATTTTCGTTACAATTAGCAGTCCATGTACTATATGGTCTAAGGTTTATTAACATAGCCACCAAGTTCAAAATGTGCTTAATCGAAAAACATAACTGTTTAAAGACGATAGATGAAATTGACAAATGGATGACGTTTTGTTTAGTTACTATGGTTTTTGAACCGTATATGCCTTCCGAACTAAATTCTTGTGCATAATACGCCATGTTGTTGATACACTTACTCCAACGTGTTGTGCACGTCGTCTAATGGACATTTCAGGCTCTCCAATACTTTCTTGTGAACGACCGCTACGACTGTATTTTTAAGTTTTTTATCTTCCAACCAACGAATACTGCTTTCAAATGGACAATTAAATAAACCATAAAATTAACGTAATTTTTCAGAAACAGAACGCTGATTTTCATAAAATAATTCAACCATTTGATGGCAATGTTGTATCGTGTACGAAGCCAATTCTATTAATGTCAGAAAACATTAAAATTAAATTTCTGTTTATTTTTGTTTGATGCTTATGTTCCTACCTACGCAGCAGCGAATTACGAAATCTTCAAATCTTATGACAATAAAAACACAAAATAGAGAACGCCTGACGATCGACGAAGAGATGAGAGCAGACCTGTCAACAATTACTCCAAGCGTGGGAGGCTAGGTGGGAGGCCTTTGCTCAATAAAACAAGATCATGTTTCGCATTAAATAAATTCACATTTGAATTTTTATATATACTCGTACAATATCTTTGAAATTTCTCGATTTCGTATGTACCTATACTTTGAACGATTAATAAATTTTTTCACGTCAAATTTCACTCTCCCTGAACCGCCGTAATTCGAAGCGACCGTTCGACATCGAGAAACACAACAATTCATTCCAAATTTTCACACCGAAGAAAACTAAATTCCTTTTTTACTAAAATCTTGCGATCTCTCCCCTATGGCTTACACTTCACCTATCTATTAATTCAACTATGTAGTCAGTTTGGCGTAGCGGTTAAAGACTCGGATTCTAACCTCACAATTTACCAACAAAATATAATAAAAGTATGTTTATCTTTATGTACAATGAATCCTAGGTTTTGGTGTCAAATTTTCATTTAAAATATTTAATAAATTGAAAACTATGCTCACTTTATTCTGCTTATAGTGTTGTGTGACGTTATTTTCTTTACCGTGTAATCTTTGCTTTGGCCATAGACAACTTTGTCTATGGCTTTGGCTTATATTTGAATTACTATGTGGAATCCCTCTCGAATAACATTATGCGAACTCTTACCTTTATATAGCAATCCTTACGCCATCTAGGTGTTCACATTATAACCCGATCCTTTATTGGCGATATAGTTTTCTTTTAAAAAAGCTTTTGTCTAGTGTTCTGTTGATTGGCGCGATTCTTCTTCTCCCACTCACTGTCGACGCGCGCAGTCCTTGTTGAAGAACTCGATTCGATCTTGACTTGTATTTGAACTACACGCCATTACACTTACTTGACATATTCGTCTACCTTTATTGGGATTTAATTAGTGGTGTTGTACTAAAATTAGTGAAGTTTTCTCTTATCATCTTACTTCCAATTTCGCTGATGACGCATTGCTGCGGATTTATCTTACAAGTTTAAGGCCGTTTTGCGGTATGTTATCTATGACGCATTATCTTTTTATTTTAAATAATCTATTCTAGGCTACTTTCGTACTCCCTAAGTTTTCTTACTTCTTATTTTGGTTTTACCAATTGCTTCCTGACTGTACATTGATATTTTGACGTGGAAACGCAAATACCCGATTTTCCATATGGTGCAATAGAATTCCATTGAAGTTTCGACGCCATTACAAATCAAAAACGCTCTACATATTTCTACCTTACCGACTGAAGAATTGACTGAAGAATCACCGCCATTTCATGTGAAACCGATATTTGAACTGATGACCCAATTTTACGAAGTTCGTTGACCTACGATTCATTCCTCCGAAACGCAAGTACTTAATTAACGAGACGTGTGGAGTTAGTACTGTGTAAATTTTTTTAATTAACGTTATGTATTTTACTTTGAAGAACTTGCTCGTGTAATTTCTTTTGAATTGATAAGATTGCTTTGTCATTGAAGATAGATTCAGTTATTTTATTTGTACATTTTTATAGTATTTTTCTCTTAAAATTTCATGTCATTTTTTTTTATATCATACCGATTGTGAAAACCAACCCTTAGTCGAACCAAATTTTGTTTTGTTGTAAAGTCATTTGAATTTTTGATTCTTTTTAGTATTGATTGCAATTCTACGTACAAGAATAACCATTCGTGTCTTACGTTAACCATTGCTTATGCGATATATTGTGCAACGCGAATCACTACCCTTCTTATATTTTTTTGTTTTTGTGTCTGACTGTTTTCAGATTTGCAGTTTCGCGTCCTCTGAGCTCGGAAGGTTGCGACCGGAGTTCAAGGTAAATTTAGTTATTTTCGTCGTTTTTCCCTTTTAACGTTTGATTACATTTTGGTTGTTGATACTAACGAGTTGTGATTATTACTTTGTTTGAAAGTCACTTAATGATTATAGCTCCGTGGTTTCTGCGGAAGCCTTTTGGATAAATATTTTTCCCAGGCTACGTGTTGGCTTCTAATTTGTTTTATTAGAGATTATTTTAAATTCCCGGTTTGATATACTAGATCGATATATTACAGTGTCAGATTTGTGATATTTGGAGATCTTTGTTATTAAACTACCCGCATTTATACATCAAATACTGTTTGTTTTCCCCATAATTGTGTATTCCTTTGAGTTTAGTAAGACGAGAACAAGGATCTCTTGGTCTGCCTTGTTCATCCCTTTAGTATTCCTCTCTCTCTAAATTCATCAAAGACTAAGTGGCGCCTATCCGGATTACTTTTACTGTTTCCTTCCCTTTTTGGCTTATTTGTGTGTATAGAAGAACCCCATTTTCACCCCGACCCACCTCTACTTTGCCTGAGCTTACCGTGTGCTTATCTAAGGTAATTTTGTCACGTTGGCCCAAAGTGAACGTAACAGTTGTGATGGAGAAATTGTGAAATTTTACATCTTCAAAATTGATTTTCTCATCTCGAATTGCACCAAATTAAAAAAAATCGAACCACACCACGAACCTGAGAAAGTCGTCAACCCTTTGTAAGTTCCATGACAGCTCTTTTTATATTCCATGTTAAAGGCAATGTTAAAAACTAAACATTACCTAATTTCTTTAAAAACATTAGGACTATACACCGAAAATAAATATAAATAATTGTAAAACGAAAATGTTGACCGTAGAACAGGCGAATGAGGTACCTGAAGGAAAATCCTTAATGATTCAGATCACCAGTACCGAATAAAACGTTTGCTATTAAAAAAAAATTAAAAAACACTTTTCGTAAACAGAACACAAAATCTGTATTTAAAAAAATAATATATAAAATTAAGAATAAGACAAATCATGCACGTACTTTTGTGCTTTTGTGTCTATTACGTTCGTAGAACAGTTCAGGCGTGTAACAGTACACTAGAAAAAAGGAAACAAACGGGAAATGTAGTAATACTTAGGCGCCACTTAGTCTTTAGTAAATTTCAAAATAAAAAAGAGAATTAGAGCCACTGTTAGTAAGTTCGGTAATTTAATAAATGAGGCGTTGAAAGCCAAAGTGGTACAAGTCCCAAAATTGCAGTTTTGAGATAACACCGACCTCTATATGTTATTGGGGAAAAGTACCATGTGACAAAATTTAAAAATTCTCACTTTTAAATTAGACCTGTAGATTGCGCTAGTGAGATCTGCATAATAACGTTTTATTCAAATCGTTCAAAGGCAAAGTGGTACAAATGTGACTTATACCACTTTGCCATTAAATGGAATTGCAGATATATTATTAGTGCATTTTTCTTGTAATGGTGAAATGTGTTTTGTCGACATTAAAAATGAGTTGTAGTGATACTGAAAGTGAGCCACTTCCTTCTAGTGAAAGTGAGTACGAACCAGAGGATTACTCATCATCAGAGCCATCAGATTCAGGTAAGTAGGCGTGGTTACAAATTCAATGGTTGCACTTCAAGAAATCTGAGCCGTACAAAATTTTTTATAAAGAAACGCTCAATGAAGACTATCCTTTCAATGCTATTAGTTTACTGCCAAACCGAAGAGGTGCTCCTAAAATGTTCAAGGCCATCGAGCTTTCGTCTCTGTATCAGGGCCCACTTGAAATTAATGATAAAAAGAAGAAAAATATGGAAGAACTTTTTCAATTTATTCCTCCGATTCATCAAAATTACCTACTTCAAGGATGTAATTGGAAATTGTGACGTTGAAGATCCTTGAAGAATTGGAAGAAGAAGATGATGACAGTTAGTTTCCCCATTGTTTTGGAATATACTCGTGTTTTTATTTTTCATATAAATTATGTTTTATTTCCTCTTTTGGTAATAAATTTTTAAAAACGTTTTCAATTTTATTGTGTCTCATTGCAACGTTTTTTAAAGGTATAATAACTTTTTGTTCTTATTATTAGAGAGCAAAAAATCTATTATTGTGGTATACCCAAACATATATTAAAAAGTATTGAAAGTCATAGTGGTCTAAGTCACAAAAAAGGTCAAAAAGGTAACAAAATTTTAAAAATCAGGATTCAGGATTTTTTAATTGACGTGCAACTTTAGGTTAATTTATCTAAAAACAAAGTTTTTGGACTTAGACCATGCTGGCTCTCAAAGCCTCAAATGATCTCACAATATTATAAGTAAATAGAACACTGTAATATCTAGATCTCAAATGTCAAAGTTTAAATTTAAATGACTATCAAACAAATGCACTATAATTACAATTCGATTGTATCGAAAACCAGTATGTAGTCAAACGTCGAAAATAAAAAAAAATTACTTTTGAACTCTGGTTGTAACGGCCTTTGAGCTCAGAAGCGCACTGTTCTGCCTTATCTGTAACAGATAACAACAAACAAATAAGAGGGATAGTAGATAGTGCGGCACAATAATATTGCGGTAGAAATGTACAACATCTGATACTAATCAGGTACTCGTATACTAAAACCGTAATTAGTACTCAATAAGAATCAATAATTTAAATCACTACACTAGCAAAAGCAAAATTTTGATTTACAATGGATTGTCCGTACTAAATCGGTGATGACAAAAACATAAACGTAACGTTAACTCAAGAAAAACGATGCACAACAACCTAATTCAAAATGTAAATGGGATAACACGAACAAACTCTTCGGAGTAACCAAAAATCGTAGATATCTGTTTCGGACTACGTCTCGGTAATTCTAAAGAATAATTTACAAAGGAGCGGTATCTAAATATCTCGTATAACACTCTAATCTGATATAATGTAATCAAGCTAACAAGAATGAATTTTTGGAGTAACAATAGTAGGTAATGTAGATCAAATCGGGTCTCGATATCGGTAAGGTGAATCTTCGTAGCGACAAAAGCAAAGTACGTAAAATCAGATATATCGGACCGATTCACAAAGATACCTAATATTCACCAAAAGGTTTCGTTTGCGCCAGCACATCAGAAATGATGAGAAACACTTCAAAGAAATATGATTATAGCCGAAACAATAAGCCCTTATTCAGACAGATATGTCAAGTAAAAAGTAATGGCGTATGGAGAAAAATTTGCACTTAACTATGTGTACCAGATACTCTCTGCACGAAAAGAAATACAACGCAACATCAAATTAAGAAGGGATGGAATTAGAAGTTTCACGGATGGCCTCTAGTGGCGAAAATAAAGAACTAAGGTAATATCAATCATCTTAACAAAACGGGTTTGTAAAGGCTTACCATGGTTTCAGAATACATCGAAAATTCAGCAAACAATAGAAAGCAAATGTCTGACTTGATGACGCTGATACTGGACCTTCCGACCCTCTACTACTACTGCTGCAATGTGTGCTGCTTCTTTTAGTCAAGAAGCTCATCAGAAAAAGTTTGGTAATCTTGAATTATCAAAGATTGACGATAACAGAAATGGATTATTTACTTTTGATAAATGTAAAAACGTGAGTTGAAACATTTACTTTAACAAATAATATAATTTTCATGAAATATGCGCAACTGTATTATATATTATTCCCTTGTTAGCAAATGAACTTCTGCCCCCAAAAAAAGAGATTTCGTTGCTAACTTTTTAGGATAGTCTGCATTGGTTATACGCATGCTACTTTATAGCCCTCGATTTTAGACGCATTGCGTAATACTATCAAACTATCCCACTTTACACGCGACAGAAAACTTGTTTTGATTGACGTCGAATACGTAGTTTGTTGTGATCCCGTTCAGAAATGTAAGCGACCAGATCGTCTATCGAAGAAGTTAAGCACTTGAGCTTTAAAAGTGGATCTCTGATCGCCTTACAGGTCTTAATGCTGATTGATGTAAGACGATTGCACGATTTGCTTAACTTCGAACTGCAACGCTGATCCAAATTCGGATGTTTGTATTCATTAGGTTTCTCTAAAAGTAACACGGTAAAATTCAGTGCACGTCGCTACAGAAACTTTTAAGACAATTAAACGCTAGACAGGATCGCTCAAGCACTAGGCTAAAGAAAAGTTAACTATTTAAGAGCCTATTTAGTTATTTACACGTAGACTCAACTCGGAGCAAAGGGACGTGGCCACATGCAGAAGTGAAAACTCCCAGAAGGAAACTGAAAATTTACAACTCCCAAACTTATTCTGACGACAACATAAATAAGACGAAATTTATTGCATCGATTTTTTATGGATGTCTCTACAATACAAAACTTCATAATTGAATTTTATATTTATTCCAGTTTCTAATTGACATAATAAATGATGCATAGTTGGCAAAACAGCAATGAAACGAATAGAACTAATTTAAGTAATTATCGTGAAATTTACTTTACATTGAAACAAACAATTTCTAACAACTCAACAAAGTTTAATGATGACAATTCTGTTACAGTTCAACTGCTATTCAGGCATAATTTGTGTGGACGTAATTAAATTTCAAAGTTTCCGTATTACAGAAATTAAATCAAAGCAAATAAAATAATTAGAGTGGCTGGGAATTTTATATTGTTGTCCAGTTTTTTTTGTAGTATTGAATATTTTGTATTCGTGATCAAATAACAAACAGAATTTATTTTCATGCGGCATTATCTTTCATAGCAGTAACTCTAGATTTATAACAACAACAAACTAATCTAAGCGTTCATTTTCACAAAGGCCATGGATGCGAGATGCCATTGTTTTTCTCACGTTTTGTTTATCTTTCATCATCGAAGCATAAGGACGCTAGAATCTCACCCTCTCGCATTGTCGGTCAACTTCTATAGTGTGCTCTTCACATATTTGTTAGTGCCTTTCATAAGAAACCTGGTACAGATAAAGTAGATAGCAGCTCTAAAAACAGCTCCATTCACTCGACTATATTATATTATCTTGGAATATTGCGCTACTTTTTACTGATCTCTAGAGAAGTCATATTTAGATTTTTCTTTTTTTCTGTATTATACAAATGCATACTAAGGAAATCTTTTGGGACGTAACAGAACGCAAATGTATTTTTTACGTAAAGGTTTTTTTTTTGAATTCAGAATACGTTCAAATTCTGAATACTACACTTTGGCATTGTCTCTCATTCACTAGAAAACACGGGTAGATAATATCTGCGTTGTTGTACGTACTTTGGCGATTAGTAAAAAGAATTTTAGAGTTTATTATGTTGAGCTATAAATTTAGATATACATTCGTTAATTAACTTTCTCACAAATACATTCTGTGTTTATCGAGGAAAAGTTCAGACAAAGAAATTATTTGCTCGCTTAAACAATGTATCTCGATGCGAGGGGTTAATAGCCTCATTACGTTGGCTTGTATGACTGCTGGGCTTAACATTACAAAATGGCAGAGGTATGTTATTTAGAAATGAATTTGGATTGACGATTTAATTATAAAAGTTTCCTTCGCGTAATTTTGTCAATTATTGTAAATGCTACAGCTTTGCCCGAATTAGGTTGCTATAAAGCTTTCCTTTGCGGCCTTGTCCCGTAATTATAATCCCGTAATTTTACTTTACATGCAAAATTGCAGGTAACTCGCAATTTGTCGCGAACCCAAACTTTAAGCGGCCAGGTTTTTACCCGTAGTTAAACTGCTAATCCTTACTACTATTGGGTAGGTTTCATTCAATCAAATGCCCATTTTAGTTCTTGAAAATCGCACACGAGTCTTTCCACAAAAGTGGGGATATTTATACGTAATCGCTCCAAAATTGTTAAAATTCTCACTCGTAGCTTTACTACGAACTAACGAAGAGTAGCTGGAAAAATATATAAAACCTGGTCTCTCTTTGCTTATCTCGCACCGCACACTGTTATCGAAAACGTACACGGTGTTATCGTCAGACAAACTGTCTTTCTCATTCGCTATGAAGCGGTATAGGTAAATTTTCATATCTTGAACAATATACAAATTCGAAAAAAATATTATTCAATTCTAAGCCGACCACCCGTGTTCAGGAACTCTAATCAGAGTAAACTGAACATTTTACTGAGCAATTGCACCATGATACATTCGAACATTTTAATTGATAGGTTTGCAACGAAGCCCAATTGCGAAAGGAGAACTACTGTAGACTGTTAAAAACTCCGGTCCAGACCCAAATCCCCACAAGAATATTATAATAATATTTCTCAGTATCAAAAATAAAGATCTTCCATAGTGTTGTTATGTATTAAGTTAAGTTGCTATACAAAACCCAATTACAACATTTTTGGAATCTTTAGGAACAATCGAAACTTTTGGCACCTTTGCAACAACAAGAAGTGTACCATCCACCTTATTCGAAAAACTTTCAGAACGGTTCAGGGGTTATCCGGAATCCTAATCAGAACTCAAATCTAAGGAAAATATTCGCGACATAAATTTTGCTAAATTCTTTCCTATTCTTAACCCATTTATTTACCTGGGAAGTACACAAAAAGGTAAGTATCAAAAATACTTAACAACATCACGAACATGAGAAGATCATAAACCCTTTGTAATGTAACCATCCGTTGCAAACTGTCTTCGTGAACTTTTAATTAAATTGTGGAAGATTTAGGGCTTCTCTTGCAATTTTTTGGTTGAAAACGCCTAATTAAGGTGCCCTGTGCCATTGTTATTAATTTCATGTTCGTACCTGATCGTATCGGGGGGGCTTATTAGCGTCACGTACCTCAAAATAACACCAAAGAGGGATTTAACGTGAGAACGACTACTGGACAATGGCAGTGTTAATGATAATTTTGGTGGAATCTGGAGGCAAGAATTCTGAAACCTGAAACACAAAGTCGAATTCATGAATTCTGAGGTATGGCTCCATAAGCGTTGGAGAAATGGATTGCTCATGTGTCAGTTCATAGGTATCTTAGTCCCCAAGTTGGGATCTAATACGCAAAATAAGTGAAATATTATTTTACTTATATAAGTGGAACAATTTCGGAGGAACTACCATAATTTAAAATTACTACTTTTGGGGTTAATGGGGTTTCATGTGTCTTTTACTCGATATTTCCAGTATAATACTGATTTGTGCAAGGCAAACGTTCCCTAAGCCACCCACAAAACACCTGTCCATGTTATTAATTTGAAAAATGCATCTACGTTAGCCGCCTCCAAAATTTCAAAGAATTTATTAACCAATTACCTGAAGTAATTCAAGGTACGAAATTAAAGAAATTAACATAAAAGAAAAACAGCTAACAGGACCAACCAACATGTACCTCGCAAATAAGTTATCGATAGACTTAGTGTTAATGTTCCAAAAGCTCCGGTCAATTGTCATTTTCAAACAAACAGACACACAGACACTAAAGTAACGCTGCTTCTGCGTAAACTCGGCTACTTTACCTTTACTTGAAACTCGATTTTAACGAACTACCTTTCTTGTAGTTCCATTTGCAAATGGGACCTTTCCAACTTGCTTTTTCACAGATACTGAGAACAACTGTCCATGACAGCACAACGCCTTCTTAAGGCGAATTACTTCTTCGTATGAGTGAACCGACTTCAAACTAACTTCTACAACACTTAACTTTCTTCTACACAACTTACGCCACCTAACAGATAACTTAAATATACGGCCATGGGCACGACAAAAAGGTCATCCTTCCTCCCTCCTTTAAAAAATAATGCGCGTCTTCGTAAAATCACACTGCAACTTTATTTTGTAAAACAACGATAAATGTTGAAATTTAATTAGCATATGCAGCGATAACAGTTCTTATCGCAGACCGGTGGTAAACTTTTACAATAACTACGCACATAATTTCCAGATGGTCCTTATTTTACTAACACAAAACAATTATTTAAACAAAATAATTCGGATATCACAATGTGTCGGAATTTAACCAATATGATCGGATTTACGTTTACTCTAAAAATTGCCGGTGCGGCTGCCTAATAAAACGCTCGCATGAAGTAGTTTACACAACAATACATAAAGACAACAAAAAGTGGTCATTTCAGAAATCCATTATCTGTTGCCAAAACGGCAACTAGTGTAACGTAATCGACCGGTTAACACTATATCACCGATCAAATCGGGACTTTTACACATCCTAAGTAAATTGACTTGTACGACTTTCATATTATTAATTCGCATTATTTGGTAAATTTTAGGCTACAGGTTGTTAAAACGGAATGGAAGAATCATGTTTCACTGAAAACCTTAGAACTTTTGACTATACAAGTATACGCTCGGGATACACATGTAAATTTTGTACTAATTAACAACTGAGCGTTTTAATTAACTACCTACTTGCTGGTGTTTGAATTGCTATACAATTATTTGAAGTATGTAACGTCTAGGGAAAGTTCCTACTTTAGTGAAAACGAATTGTGTTCATACACAAGGTAGCTATACACATCAAGTATTGTGTACTATTAATTAGTACACATTTTTGGAAGTATGGAAGTGCTGAAGTTATACAAGGTATTCAACTGACATAAAATGGAAGTTCTTCCCTAATGCAGGCGTAAAAAGAAAGGTT